GGCCGAGCACGTGCGGTACGAGAGCACCGGCCCGGCGCTGTGCACCGTGGTCTTCCTGCTCGTCTACTTCTTCGGCATGGCCAGTTCCATCTGGTGGGTCATCCTCTCCCTCACCTGGTTCCTCGCCGCCGGCATGAAGTGGGGCAACGAGGCCATCGCTGGCTACGCCCAATATTTCCACCTGGCCGCCTGGCTGCTCCCCAGCGTCAAGTCCATCGCGGTGCTGGCGCTCAGCTCCGTGGACGGGGACCCAGTGGCTGGCATCTGCTACGTGGGCAACCAGAGCTTGGAGAACTTACGGGGCTTCGTGCTGGCACCGCTGCTCATCTACTTGGCCATCGGCTCCATGTTCCTGCTGGCCGGCTTCGTCTCCCTCTTCCGCATCCGCAGCGTCATCAAGCAGCAGGGCGGCCCCACCAAGACCCACAAGCTGGAGAAGCTGATGATACGCCTGGGCCTCTTCACTGTGCTCTACACCGTGCCAGCTGCCAGTGTGGTCGCCTGCCTCTTCTATGAGCAGCACAACCGGCCCCGCTGGGAGGCCACGCACAACTGCCCCTGCCTGCGCGACCAGCAGCCTGATCAGGCCAGACGCCCTGACTATGCTGTCTTCATGCTCAAGTACTTCATGTGCCTGGTGGTGGGCATCACCTCCGGTGTCTGGGTCTGGTCCGGCAAGACCCTCGAGTCCTGGAGGGCCCTCTGCACCCGCTGCTGCTGGGCCAGCAAAGGTGCTGCTCTGGCTGGGGGAACAGGGGCAGGAGCAGGAGGGCAGGCAGCAATCGCTGCGGCAGGAGGACTTGGGGCTGGAGGCGGTGGCTCCCTCTACAGCGATGTCAGCACCGGCCTGACGTGGAGGTCGGGCACCGCCAGCTCCGTCTCCTACCCCAAGCAGATGCCCCTGTCTCAAGTGTGAGGAGGGGGAAAGAGGCCAAAGGTTAGGGAATGAGGGACACTGGCCTGCCTAAAATGCCCCCTCACTGTTTGGTGCCATTAATGAACCCCTAATGGTCCTTATTAGCCACAGCTTGTATAGAACAATGCAGCTGGCAGAGGCCCCAGGCTCCAGCCCCCTCCTCCCTCCCCTCCATTCACATGCTGGGAGCATGTACTTCAAGGAGCCAGCTTATTATTTTGCTGGCAGAGGAGGGTAGAGGCTCACCCGTGTCTTGCAGAGGGCAAGGCACTGCAGCTTCTGATTCACTCTGGACTAACAGCAGCTCTTCCCTCATGGGAGGGAGGGTCTTTCTCCCCCCCATCCTGAGGGGGGAGCCTGCTGGGACTGCAGGTTTTTGGGATGTTGATGACCAGGCAAATGCCTTACAACACAGACTGAATCAAAACATGTCTTAATTATACACCCCAGCTAAATACGGGTTTCCTACATTAAAGGATGTATTTATATAATTATTTGTTACCTTGTACAGATGTGTAAAATATGTATATATCCAAAGCTATACAGTCTGTAAATTTTTTTTGTAAAAAAGTGTAGAGGCTACCCCTGTAAGAGCAAATACGAGTATTCTATTTTGTCAATAAAATGACTTTTGATAAATGACTTTTTCAAGCTTTTCCCCTACTCCTGCCCTGGTTATTCCAGCTGCTATGTCTTTAGGTGGTTCTATAAACTATGAGCTACATTCATGCTCCAGTCATTTCTGTGTAATAGATGGCTGCCTCTGTTGAAGCTGTGAGAGCCGTAGACACAAGGAAAAGTAATTTAACAAGTTGTTCTGAAAAAGTGTTTGCCAAAACTGGGAGGTGCCTTACCATAGTTCTCTGCTTTCTGAAAGATGACAGTCTTTAAACTGAGCCTTTACAAAAGAGTCATCTCACATGGCATGTTAAGTATCCTTTTAAAATGGGTGTTATTTTAGGAATGTGCACACACACTTCTCATATCTGTTGTCTACACTTCTGTAAGCACCTGCCTTTCCGGGGATGCATACTGAAGTGTAAAAGGTTAATGTTTTAAATTCATAGATCATCTACTACAGTGGAACAGCGAGTTGAGATTTGTTAGATCAATCTCTTCTTAACAGATTAAACTAACATCTTAACCTTTCATACTTAACTTTTGTATATCAAATATGGTCCTTTTTCAAGAGAAAAGGCATTGTTCTTCTGTCAGGACTAAGCTAATTTATTTGAGCAGAAGGCTGTTGAATTAACAGAAGAATGCTTTGGCAATTGTTGAACTTTTTACCTGTCTGCCCAGTGGCTCAGAACATCATTCCTTTAAGAGGAGCTAAATGAATAGGGTTAATCTGTAGGGAACTTGGTTTCTTTTGAGTTTGGGAAAACTTTGATCTTTTCTCTTCACCAAACGTGATGTATAGGCTGAAGTTTCTTTCCCTGCTGCCTGGTTCCTCTTGTTGCAGACCAATTGGCCACCATGGAGCCTTAAAGTTCTTCAATTAAAGGGACGTGGGACTTTTTTTTTTTTTTTTTTTTTTTTTTTAAGAGGAAGACTTGTAACAGTTAGTGAACACCAGAGGGAAAAGGGAGAACAGCCTTTTAAACAGCTTTTCCCTGCATTGTTAGCCAGACCGCAGGCAGCAAGGCATGGCTTGGAGCATTATAGAAAAGAGCTATGAATGCCCTACAGGTGGTCTGCTCACATAATCTCCCCAATTTAAAACATTTTCCTTTACAGGACAATTGCATTACAAAACTCCCTTCTCTTTTGCTCCTAATTGAACCAAAGAACAACTACAAGATTTTCTCTAAAAACTGAGGATCTAAAAAAAAATAAAATCTGTTAACTACATTCTAACCTGTTTTCTAAAATGAGATTGCTTGGAATACCAGGAGTAATAGCTGCATTAGACATCATTCCAGATATTTTTATGCTTTCTGCTTATATTCTGTCAAATTAGCAATCATTTAAAAGCAATTGGTTAGGTTGTGTGCTTGCAGTGAAAAGATAGCCCCAGGTCCCTTATTAACCTGTCAATCACGATAAGAGATGGGCAGCTACCCTACTAATGACACAGATATCAATCATGATTTGTGGGAAAAACCTTGTTCCATTGAGCACTGACTTGATTATTGGTGTCCCTTTCAAAGATCCCGTAACTTAATAGACTCCTCCACTTCTACAAAGTTATCAGGATCATGAAAAGGAGGAATTTAAAATGCCAATCTCTAACTCCTTGGAGGGAAAAATAATTTTAACTACTCAAATGCAAAGGATGTTCCACTGACATTTATGCACAGTGGCTACTTATACACCAGTTGACCAGGATCAGAATACTGACCTACCTGTAAGTTAAAAAGGCCTTAGTATTTTCCTGTATTGCTGGAAACATTTTTTAACAGTTGTTGAAACATTTAAATCAATGTAGCAATTTTCCCTGCTGTCTGTGGGGCTAAGGTAGAGGTCTTCCTCCTGCTGGGGAAGCTCCACATTTTGAAGCACAATCACTTCTTCAGATAAAAATCTGTGTTCCTTCCCCTCTAGTGGGTTCTAGCAAGGAAGACAGAGGGAAGGTCCAGCCACAACTATTCTGTGAGAATTTGTTTAGATAGGTCTCTGGAAGACTGCTGCTACAGGTTGCTAGTGCTGAGATAAAAGCATTTCTAGTAAAAGATAGGAAGTAGCTCTGTGGCTTAACCTACCCTGGAATGACCTAAGAGGTGCCACAGGTGGACTTAGTCAGGAAAGCAGTCTCGGAGCTAAGTTGGGTTAACAAGATGCCTGCTTTGGCATTTGGAAATGACGGTGTAATAATGCAAAGGTTAAACAGATAAGACAAAATTCCAATCACTAGAAACACAAACCTGGGGAAACAGTGCTAGAGAAGTTAATTTACAGGTGCAGATATTTGTGAATCAACATAAAATTTATGTCGGGGGCGGGGGGGGAGATCAGAAAAAACAACAGCAAGGCACTTAGGTACACAAATAAAAATCCACAGCTACACAGAACTTCACATTATTATGACAGCCTTTATCAGACTTTAAACATAAATTTGCTATGATAACCCAAAATACACTGGTGAGGTGGTAGGCATTACATGTTACCCATCAAGGTCTGATGATAAAGTGCCTTCTCCCTAAATTTGCCACAGAGTTACTAAAAACAGTCCCAGCAGACTCATGGCCCAAGCGCTTGCCTGCGGAGCCACAATGCCCTCAGCATCCCTGCTGGTGCAGGCTCACCCGTGGGCAGGGGCAGCACCCACATGCCCCAGTAACTGCACCAGCTCATGAGAGCTAAGGGAAAGCTTTATTATCACTGATGTGGCTACATAGCACAACTTGTATAGTAACATTTGGAGAGATGGACAGCTGGCAACTAAAAGCCTCCTGCAGCTCACAGAGAGGTCTAACTGCTCCATTTGGGAGAGTGACCAAGCTAGCAGAGAAACACCGTTTGGGATATTTTTTTTCCCCCCTCTCTAATAAGCAACATACCTTTAGAGTGTTCCTTTTCTTTCCAGGACCCCTCCCTGCTTTACCTGTTCCTGCTTCAAAAGGAAATCCTGTGGATTATTCTCCTCCTGCTGTAACAACTGAATAATCCTGCAGCCTCCAAAACAGCTGGCCCACCTGCCAGCAGATCTTTTAAAAAGAAGCAATGCCGTGCAGGTGTGCTGCAGAGCCTCAGGAGGGACACTGCACCTCCCCTGGACCCTGCTGCTGAGTCCCTGGGAGCCACCTGGAAGTGTCCTGTGACCTGCTCCAACATTTTCCCTGTGCAGGGGAAGCTTCCCTAGAGCTTTTGTAATCAGTCATGGAAGGGACTTCAGACAAGGAGGAATTGGGAAATTCTTATATATTGAAATTTTATGAATGTGGCCACACTTTCTGGCACAGACGAAGTCTTTTTTCCTCCTTTCTTACTCAGTATTTTAAAATCAAAGTGTCGGGGTGCTCACCCATTAAAGAGTTCTTCAAATGCGCTTGACTAGTCCTGAGAGGTCTCCCAGGTAGGGTAGGAAAGCTGGAGGCAGAGGCGCCTCTGTGTGCACACTACCCACAGCGTGCTTCAACCCGGCTTCCGAGCCCAGGCTCCTTCCACATTCGCTTGGGCAGACCTCTCACTAGATGCCTCAAGGTGGGTTGTAGGAAAAAAATTGACATTTTTTCACAAGAGGAAACCAGTACTGGGAGCCAAAGCAGAATGCCCGAATTTAAAAAGGAGTCAGTAGCTGAGAAAAAAAATACCAGAGTCCTTGGGAGAATCTCAGCTCTACTTTGAAATATAAAAACTTCAATACAGGTAAGACCACTGATCCCAGTGACTGTGCTCACCATGCTTCTTTCACAAACACTACATGCAGTGCAAGAATCAAACCTAGCGTGCCCAGTAAGTTAACCTTCTTAACCAATAAAGACATGGAATTTTATATGTGATAGAGAGGCCACCTAACACGGTCAAAAAGCAGACTGGTGATAATGAACGTTGAAAAATGACAAAAGATGTTCCTGGAGTGAAAGCTCACCTGCAGTCATGATCATGCTGGAGAAAAGCTCAATATGGGCCAGTCAAACCAGCTTGTAGAACCACAACCAGTTTCCAGAGTGCCTGTTACAACCTGCCTGTAGCATGCCCTGCTCCTGCACCCCGTTTCCAGAGCCACACGTTTCTTCCACTCCCACCCACCATGGCCAACCCAACTTCTGGCCCAACAGGGAAGCAAGTGAGGAACAATCTCTCTCCATTGCCCATCCTGGCCATGTTCCCTCTTTTTTTGCCCTGCATACCAAAACTGGACGGTATGGAAAAGATAGCACACCTCTTCCTAGAATTAAAGAGGCTGGGCAACAAAGGTCACCCTGAAAGCAACAGGATAAGCCTAAGAAGAATAAAGTTGTTTACAGATGATGGTCTAAGGAAGAGCTATTAAACAGGGCAGACTCCCTACATGTGGTCGTGATGAGTTCTAGGCAGCCTTTAAGAGAACTCAATTAGAAATGTTCAGACAGCTCTATTTATTTAAGCTTTTATAAATGCCCATCATTACCGTAATCAGGTATACGAATTTCACTAGTTCAGCAGAAAGGATCACACATCATAAATGCTATGGTGGAATGGAAATAACTACTGTCTGGTATTAAAATGTGGAGCCATAATCTGAGGTGACTAAGGATAGTCAAATCACTTCAGAAACTAGTACCTAAGGTCAAATGCCAAACCAAGCTTTTTGAAGGCTGAGATAATACTTTTTCACTCCTACAAGCTTCTTATCTATGATCTCAAAACACTTTACATTCGCTGGTGAATTAATAGTCAAATTTCTTCTTGGGAGACAAAAATTGCAGTAATAATACCCAGGCTAATGGCACTTAAGTGCAAGTCTAAGGGAGCAACCTGGATTTCCTGCCTCTTCTGTGCTTTCAGTAACGCTCCATTTTACAAGCACGTCCTCACACCTATGCCCTCCCCACCAGTTTCCCCCCAACGACCACCCCCCAAAAGGGCCATAGTCCCATACATCTGGAGTGTAGGCAGTTTCCCAGGCCCAGCACCAAATCCATCACTGGTTTTCAGTAAAGCTGGCACTCTCAACCACCAGACCCACTGCTGCCTCCACAACTTACAAAGTACCG